TCATCCAAAGTCCAGCGGTGTTATATCAACAAATAAAAGTGTTCGATAACTGTACATGAGTGTTTTTTGGAAGTATTTCCTACCCCGCTAGAATCTTTTATTTCCCTACTATCCACTTTTTTTACGTAAAGGCGCTGTGAGGAATGTTTGGCTGGTGTTGATTTTGGCGCCCCCTGCAGGCAAAGCTGTTCATCATGTAGATTTAATGATCTTGTCCTGTTTATCCAAGATAGTTCTGTCTTATAGAAGTCATTAATCTCGTTGCTGACAGCCTTGTTTGCATTTGTAGATTATAAAAAGGTATCGGTATTATGCTGCGTTCAAGTGACCTCGGAAGTCTGATGTCAGAACTGAAAATGACGTCACACCCGAGTTCCCAGCGTTTCAGTTACCAAGTTGGAAAAAAGCAAAATTGGAGGTGGAAACAAGATGGCTACATCCATAAAAAAGTTATTTTTTGCGCTTGCCCTATCTGAATATAACAAGGAAGCCAAGCGCTAAAATAACTTTCGTAGATGTAAATATCTTGTTTCTGCCTCTGATTTTGCTTTTTTCCGACTTAGTAACTGAAACGCCAGGAACTCGGGTGTGACGTCATTTTCAGCTCCAACATCTGACTTCCGAGGTAACTCGAACACAGCATTAATTTCAGTCTGTGTTGCAACCATAAACTGTATATAGACTGGACGCCATCTGCCTCCTTGCTGGGTGAAGCAACCCGGGAACAGCACCCTCTGTTGGCGGGCTGCAGTATAGATCATAAATCCTGCCTCCTCTAGCAATCCCTATGGAGCTGTGGACAAACTTTAGAAATTTTCTTTTTCTGCAGATATGATGTGTGCAACTCCTCTTCTCTGGTGTTTTTGTTCCGGGGTTACAGAGGCGTGGCACACGCGCACATGCATCGTCCAATTATACTCAAACTACGCTGGTTACATGGTAGAAAAAATCGAATTCCAACCGCATTATCTGGGTGTCTTAATCGGAGTAAGGCAATAATTTGGTTTTCTCAAGTGTCGTGTAAACGTACTGAGTGTGCAGCCTGTCAGGTCTGTTGGTCATGCTCCCACACAGCAGGAAGAGTTCATTTAGTTTTAGGGTGAAGTCCGGGTCAGATATAGGACTTCCCCGTCAGGAGACCAGGGTTTGCATGTTACGGTCTTTGGTTGTGTATTTGCACAGTCAGCACTTCATGCTTCATGCTTCACAGTTGACTTTCTAAATAATAAACGCTGTCCAAAACATACGAACTCCTGTGAGTTTGATCAAATTCATATCAGAGATTAATGACGCCGTTGGTTGTCATTGGCTGGATTTCTATCAAACCTCCTGAAGCTCCGACTCTGGGAAAGTCTCAGACCACTTCACAGATAGTTCTGCTTTTGACACTTACATTAATATAAATTAAGACGTAATCACCATAACTGTTCAGGGAGCCATTAATTCAATAAGTCTATTTATACTGAAAGCATTGTTACGTGGCAGCTGAGTGATGATGTGGCAAAAACAGCGAAGAATGAGATGTCTTTTCTCGGTACGCTTCTGACGCTCATTGCAAACTTAATCCGATCGTAAATCAGAGCAGAGAAATATCAAGGTCAGGAAAATACCAGAGCTGCTTTCGCTGGCTGCGCACCACAATGAAAACAGGAAAGACGAGGCAAAGATTAAAGCTGCCATATGCAGACGATTTCTCTATATTGACTTTTACATTATCAACCTGTTTGCACGAAAGTCCAATACGGCGAAGAGGTGAAATACCAACGTGAAGAGCGTGTCATGTGAAGAGTAACCTGCACGAGAAGCGAGAAGGGTGATGTTCTCACGGAGGCTTCACCCAGCGAGGAGGCAGACGGCGTCCATTCTATACCAGTCTATGATGTTCAGTCTGTCCTGGTCGTCAATCTACGATCACGAATTCTGTTGTCGCCAAAACCAGACAAACTTTTCCTCTGTCTTGTCTCTCAGTCTGGCAGCATCAACTTTATTATTCTCTTTCACTTGAACTCTTACTCTGTTGGCATATGTGACGTTTGCATGTTTAATTCATGTAATTTCAAAGAAGCATAAATTCAAAATCACTTCGATGATGTCGTCCAGCTTCATGATCTTTTAGAGTCACGTTAAAAAGGAAAACAATTGAAGATTTCAATAATAAAGTCGAAGTGTTACAAGAAGGAAGTTGGGAGAATTGAAATTGGATGATTGTGAGAATAAAGACACAACATTACAGAAATAAAACATCTCCCTTATTTTCTGCAGGCTGCTTATCCAGTTACTCATCATGGACCAAAATTACAACTTAATTTTCATAATATTTCAACTTCTTTCTCCTTGTCAGCGTAATTTCGTGAATGTATTCTCGTAATAAAACAGTTTTATTCTAGCAATGTGACTTTGTTCACGTTAAACAACTTTTCATTTAAATACGATTTATAATTGTACGATAAATCTTAAATCTCTTTAAACTTTATTCTCGTATTTCAACTTCTTTTTTCCTTGTCAATATAATTCTCACTCTCAACTTTATAGCTTTATTCCCATCACATAACAGTTTTATTCTTGCAATGTGACTTTGTTCACGTTAAACTAGTTTTCGTTTAAAATACGATTTATATTCATATGATTTATCTTAAATCTCTTTAAACTTCAACATCATGACCTTTTGGGACTCAACTACTTTCCTCTCCAAACATTCGGTCGGGGTCTTAATACTCCATCGTCCCACCATGTCACAACAACACTGACATCTACTTTTAGAGAGTGAACAAAACTTAAAACTTCATCATAATAACAGTCGGATGAGATAAAGTGAGACAAATTAACCAACTTGAAACTGTTTTCCTGCTCCGTCGCTAAAACATGTTCCTGCACACTGCGGACGGTAAAGTCTGTGTCGATTAGCCGACCTCGCAGTCGAAAACAACAGACAAACAAAACAGACGTGCGAGTGGCGGTGGACAGTCGATCTGTGATGAGCAACAGCGTGTTTTAATTCCACTCAAATCTCCCTCATCCTCTCTTACGAGTAATCAATGCTGCTGATTTTCCTCCCTCCGCTGTCAGAATGTGAAGGAGGTCGCTGCCGGCGACTGAGCGCAGGATTAGGATTCATTGTATTCCTCTGGCTGTTTAGATGAAAATGTGAGAAATGAGAAGCAGAAGAGCAGGATTATCTCAGCCGGCTGTGTTGTACGAGGCTCTCAGACGTGGTTTTTCCCTCGTGTTCCTGCAGACTCTTGACCTGAGGTGAAAAGACACTTGACACCTCAAGTGAGCGTCTTTGTGTAGCATACAGTCTGATCTGAAAGGAATTAAACTAGTTTCACATGTGCAGCATATCTCTGTCACTGCACATTTAGTGTACTCTGAAGAACGGCTGCTCCAGTGGGCTCAGCGTACGGTCATGAGAGGAGAGCTGTAATTAGTGTTTCTGAGACCTGAAAGGATTTCTATCTCTCTGCAGAGTCTGGAATGCTTCACACAGACGGCTGTCGGGTCTGAGTCGAACACAGAAGAGAGATTTTGTATCTCAGTGGGAAAAACTGCTGGTGAATTAAAGGTTAAAGACAAAAACAAATCTGCTTCTCGAAAGGAAGTTGTATTTTTGCAGTGGTACAAACTACTCTTGATGGAAAATTACAACATTTATGACCCGGTTGAAGCTTTTGCATTAGACTTGTAGGCGGTCTGTCAGCACCATGCACTCCATTCTGTTTTCGCCATGTGGATTTTACAGTCCTGTAGCAGTTCAGCTCAGTTTATGACGATATTGAAAGCTGTGAGGTACGGACCTCTCGCCTAAGACCGCTTCACAAGGACTCGCTCCAATCACTTCAATCAAACTCGTACTAACCATGATGGAGGTCGCTCTACCAGCTGTTATGATCCCAGATTACAGTGTTGTCCAGACGCTGGTACGTTCAGGAAGCAACAGACTTTTCACAGACTAGTTCATTCAGATACTTAATATTACTTCTAGTTAAAAAAACACAAGGATGATGTTAGATACGACATGACAGAGCGTGGGTTCCTCTATTTTTTTTTGCAACGTCAACAGCTGTCCAGTCTTTACAGGCTTTCTTTAGCCCACATGATGGATGCTGCTGTATTATATTCCTGCACTGCTTTAGAAATTCACAAAGTAGCTTTTCCATGACTTTTAGCCTTCATTCACTCACGTGGTGATCGTTTGTTCAATGAGATCTGCCTGATTACTGCAGCTGTGCAGTTTAATGATGGAATAAGTGAGCTTTACCTCCATGATGTCGCCACATATTTGCTCATAAAATGATTACTTGGGCAAGTATGACACCATAACATGACAAAGAGATACAACCGTACAATGTTAGGACAGTGTGTGAAGTTACATGAAACTTACATCTGTACTGCTGCGGTCCTGCTGCTGCTGCTCCGCCATGGTGCGCGCTGCTGTGGCCGGCCGGCGTTCACGACACATCTAAATAGGCAGCAGCTGGTGGCGCTAGCATCACATGCGCTTCTACAACTTTTAAGAGGACGAAGAAGAAGCCTGCAGTGCATTTTGGGTCAGTAGCATGCCCGTAGGATGCACCGAGACCAACTTACAATGTGGGCGTGTCTAGTATCTGAAGTAGTTGATGAAGTAGCATGCTACTCGCTCCGGTGGCCAATTCGGACATGCTACATACTACTTTGACTACTACTTGGCAATTCGGACGCAGCACATGTCTTGGGTTTGAATAGACAAAGGACTAGTCCAACATAAACATAAGGGGGGAACTGAAGTGACTACAAACTAAACAGTTAAACAAACTCAGAAAAACATCATCAAATTATCCAACCAACTATTTACAGAAAGTTAAATACTTTGTGCCGACTGAAAAGAATAAAGATAAAAGTTTTATCATGAATCTAAAGTCCAAACTTCTCCTTGCTTCCCCCCCTCTTGATGGTCTGTCCCACTTCCTGTGGGTCGGGCTTAAGAGGCCATCTTGGAGCTGCAGACAGCCTTTTGTCAGGTGAGCTCGAGCAAAGACAAACAAACAGGTAAGTTTTACTTTGAAATGACAAAAACTCAAATAAAATCATGATGTAGAAAATCAAACCATGTGATGGTTTGTTAGCTAAATTGTGTGCACCCAAATTAGAAAACAACAAAATGTGATAAAAGTGAATTTTAGTGAATTTTTTGTCTGAACTGAAACAGGTGGTGGTTGAGGCCTCCACAGTGTCCACCTCTGAGAGTTTAAGACTTAAGTGGATGTAGGCCCAGTCTCTTTGACGTCAATCGTTGGTTTCCAAAGAGGCGTCAGCCAATCATGTTTCTGTACTGAAAACACTGACTGGATGTTATTTTGGATCAAACTAGAAACAGACAAAGTGACGATGCATGTTTTTTTTTCTGCTGAAGGGTCGAATATTTTTAACATGGGGCCTAATGGGAATTCCTAGGCTTTTTTTGTAGCTAGCTCCCAGTGGACATTTGAGGAATTACACCTTCATACTGTTTTTATTTTTTTTTACTGTTTTACCAATTTCGCAGGGTTTCTGCGGGTTCAACAAGTCAAGTTTAAGTCTTTTAAGATCATAATGAACGTAATTAAAGATCCATTTTACATCCATACTGGCAAAAAAATACAACAGACAAGAAGAGAAACTGAAACATTTTATAATAACTTAAATTCAGTAACATTAATACGTTTTTAAGACCTTTCAAATTTGTATTTAAGGCATTTTATGAGATTTTAAGAGAATTTTAGACATTTAAAGGCCTTAAATTCAAATTATTGAATTTTAGACTTTTTAAGACATTTTAAGACCCAGCGGAAACCCTGTTTAAATGAAACAGCTTTGAACTTTTACATGTTATAAACTTTTCCTGATTGTCTGCTTAAACTGTGTGACAGCTACATGGAAAAAGAAGGACTCGGGCATTTAGGATGAATTAAAAGTCAAGTTTTAAAGCGTACCATACTGATTAAAGTGTATAAATGATACAAAGGGCTGCGTAAATTAACTTTTATGTAATATCTCAGTGAAGAAGTACAGAGAGCCTGTTAACCAAGTATCTCTTCTCCATTATCACGAGTTCTTTCTTGCTCAGAAGTACTATTATAACTCAAAGTATTTCCTTTTGAAAGATAAACCGTCTTTAATAAAGTGGTCAGCCAATAATTTAAATCTTAATTTTTCAGTTACATGATGGCGGCGCAATGATTACTCATTTACTGCCTGTTCACACACTCATTACTTTGCTTTCTGCTTCACTTCACCACTTATTCACAGCCTCAGCAGCAGCTCCAACGTTATTTATTTCTGTAACTGAAGAAATGTTTGGTCCACTCGACGCCCTCTGAATGTAAAGCTGCTCTGGAGGTCTGATGGAAGGCACCGCGCGACGCCGTGACGCCAACCCGGACTGTCAATGCCCCGAGTCAAGGCCCCAAGGATGAAAGAGCAAGACGCTCAAAGCCGGGAGCATTAATTATTCACAAAGGAGACAGTCATCTGGAGCAGGTAAATACGATTTGCTATTCTGCTCTTGCTTTATGCTACAGTTAAAGCTGGAGGGAGGGCGAACGCTCATTAACATGCACTCCTTCACTCCTTCACACGATAAAAACCTGAAACAAACACGATTTAAGAAGCTGAATGAAAAAACACACAGAGGGAGGGAGAGAGAGAGAGAGAGAGAGAGAGCTCTGAAACACTCTGTAAGTGTGAACTGTTTTCATAAACACACTCAAACTGACAGACAGACGAACACGTTTTCCCTCTAGAGATCAAATTTACTCTGAATATTTAATCAAATCTGACAAATGAAAAAAACACCTAATTAATCTTATGTCATCAGACTCATCTTGCACTCATACATATGTGTTTTTTACAGGTTTATTCTAATCACATCCAATTAAAATGTACTAGTAACAGTATTATTGATGTGTTGTTATTGTAGATGTAAAAATGCTGCTCGCCCACACACTCATAAACCTCTTTTTACACCTGGATTCACAAGTCGAACACATCTCTGTTTTCATCTTTTTACTTATTAAAGTTATTATTTTATTCTACGTGTCAATTTAATGGTTTTTAATTTGTGATATTTAAACATTATTCCCTTTCCACCTCGTCTTGTACAGTTTCCTATCTATCCTGACTTGTTTTTGTGAATTTTTTTATGGATTTGTCTGAATATTTTCATTGTTTCCATTTTATTCTAATGTTAAATCATAAAGTTTATTTTCATAGCACCTTACAACATTCGGAAAGATGAACCAAGTGCTTTACACAGTCAAATACACAAATACAGGAACAGAAAATACATGACAAGTGACAAATGTCAGAGGATATCATAACAATAAAAAGGTAAGAGAACACAGAAACGATCAAATAGCAAATAACCCTGGATATTAAAAGCCTGTTTAAATAGGTGAGTTTTAAGATGTGTTTTAAAGAGTGACAGGTGATTGATAAAAAGAAGTTCAGGGGGGAGAGTTAAAGACTTTACAATCATTAAAGATGGACTGTAGGACTCTATTTTATTTAAAAGTCTAAAACGAAAACTTATTCAGCACAATCACTTCACATTAACCTTAAAGCCTTAAATTTAAAAGGTTTAAAATTTACTCAGTTTATAAATGCAGATTTAGGTAAAAAGAAAAAAGCTAAACTTCATCTCAGTAGGTTTAAATGTTGTCAAAAATTCAGTCTGCTGGACTTTTAAAAACACGTGATCACATTATGTCATGATTTATTCTTGTAGTTTTGTTTCCTGTTTGATGTGTTTTATTCTGAAGGTCAGTTTTCACTGTTTCCTGTTTTACTTTTACTTTTTTTTACTTTACTTTTTTCCCCTCTTAGTTTGTCTGGTCTAGTTTGACTTCCTGTGTTTTCCCTCATAGTTATTCTCTGTCTCTTGTTGCTCGTTCCCCTGTGTATTTAGTCCCAGATTGTTGTCTATCCGACCTCACACTCTCATGGTTTCTCAGAACCTTCTTGTTGGATTTCTACCTCAAGTGTTTTGTTTGGTTTATCTGGATTTAGATTTTTCTGTTTCTGAAGTAACTTTTTATTGTTTCAGGTTTAGTCTTCTGTTTGATAAAACTTTTTTAATTCTGCACGTGAATCCTCCCTCTTTGCTTGACACATAAGTCGAGGGTGACCATATGTCCTCTGTTACCCGGACATGTCCTCTTTTTATGGGGGCTTTCCGGCCTTGTCCGGGGGGAGTTTATAAAATCCTTCAAATGTCCTTTTGTATGAAAGTTTTGAGTTCATGTTGCGTGGACTAACAGAGTTAGTAGTGCATAAAAAACACTCAACCGACTCGAAAAACTCTCAAAATTTACTACATGTGACTCTGTGACTCCGCCCCCCGTAGTCATGTCCTCTTTTCAGGGATTCAGAATATGGTCACCCTGCATGAGTCCGTCAGACCAAGTTAAACTTCTCAAAGTCGGACTTGTAGATTTTGATCGTGCAGTTTTGTGCAGATGCCCGATTTGGATTTTAACTCGCTAAAGTCTGCTTCACATGCTCCATTTTTGCTCGTTGAACTTTGACCCATAAGTTCAATGGTACAAATATGTTGCTAGGAAGTTGGCTAATATATAAAACCTCGACAGAAGAGACAATAAAGCTGTCTTATGTTATGTACAAAGGTACAGAGCTGTAAAGTTGACAGCTTATTTATCATTCCATGTGCGGCTCTTTAGACGCGTGTTTGTTGATTGTTTTGTTACATGACATTGTAGTGCAATCAGGAGACAGTAGGTGGTAGTAATGAGCTAAAAAGAGGAATACTGCCACCTACTGGAAAAGAGACATACTTTTACGAGTAAACGGTAAAGAAACCTAAAATTAAATCGGTGTTTATTTTATTCCTTCAAGTATTTTCGAGATGGAGAAAGTTTCCTCCTTCGACAGCAGTGATGTGTAAATTATGTGAGTGCGCTTTTGAATATGTATACAAGTATGTGTGTGTCCCTGAGTGTGTCCCTGAGTGTGTGTGTGTGTAAGTGTGAGCTGCTTGAGTTCCTGCGTGGGCTGGAAGATCTCAGCATGGCTGTGACAAAACGCTCCACCTAAACGCCTCTACGGCTTATCTTCCTCTGGGGATTACAAAGCATCGCAAATAAACGCAGAGCAGTGTAACTGACAACAGTCACATTACTGTGGCACCACGGGCGATAAGGCGCCGTGTGCACCGCAGGCAGGCGAGTGTGTGTGTGTGTGTGTCCTCTCTGCAGCTATCTGACAGTGAAACACAGAGAAATGAGGGGTTTGGAGGAGAATCATTGCTGTGTGAAATCTGTGTGATCTGACTATTACAGGACAAACTTCACTGAGAGCCGCTTTGAAAGAATATCACAGGAGCTCCTCAGTCAAAGCCGAGGAGCTCCTCTGCTGGAGGGGCTAAACTGTGAAGTAGGTTCAGAGTAGTCAGGCTTTGTCAACCTCCAGTCTGAGATAAGGGCTCCAACAAAAGGAGGTTATCAGCTCCTTTTATTCCGGTCGTCCTGTTTAAACTTTCTCTGAGGAGTTTGAACTGATTATAAAATCGACTGACGCTGATGCTGCAAGAGCAACAAGACGATCTATCCACTTGGTGATTGATAGAGCAGGATCTTAGCATGTTTGAGACAAGATTGTGAGGAATGAGGGTCTGCTACACACAAGTTCCCCACAGGATCTTTAAGGCTCTTTGCATCATTTGACACTTTCTCCATGCAAATTCTTACTATAAGCCATCAGCATGCAACAGCTACCAAAGTCCATGTTGCTCCAAATTCAGCTGAGAAGAAAAGCTGCAGAGAATCAGTCAAAATGAAGGACTTGTGCACATTTTAACTTTTGATGCATTTGTAGTGTCTCCAAATTTAGGGTTTAGGAGATTTTGTGGTCAACAGGGACAGCAGGTCTGCAAAAGTGCAAACAAAACCGCTATCAGGAGAAACGTGCTGCAAATGTAGGAGCTACGCAGCTTCAAAACAGGAGCAAAGAGTCACATAGAGAGGCACTGCAAATGGAAAAACACTCAGAGGAAGCGTTTGTTGGACACCAAAAAGTACCTCCAGGCTCACAGAGGTTATATGTAATGATATATTATCATTAGGGCTGTCAGAAGATTATTTTTCAAATCGCGATTAATCGCAGAATCTTTATAGTTAACTGCGATTAATCGTGGTTTGAATTTCATGTTTAAAACTCTGTTATTTTGCATCTCAAGGCAGTTTTAAGCCCATTATTGTCAAGTATTTCTGACCAGAGTCTTAATTTGGAATCAAATAAACCTGTTGTATTCTTTCAAAAAAGAGCCATGTAGACCAACTTAACACAATGTCTACGTGAAATACAAATATGTTTTCAAATGAAAAAAGTGCGATGTAGACCCACTTGTCTAATTCAAAAATACGGCTTAAAGTGCTTCAGTGTGGCCATGGAACTATGACTTAGGAAAACACCTCTACAAAAGAAGTTAAAGGGATAGTTTGTTGTTCTCCAGAAGCTCAATTATAGAAAGGAAATTTAACTGATTTCAAGAAACTTCAACCCAAACATTGATGTGGGTGTAAGTGTTCGCTCTATTTAGACATCTCACAGTCAGTTTTGCATTATCCTCAGATATGAAGACGTGTCTCTCGGGCGTCTGCAATCCTGATGCATGTAGTAATCACACGCTGGGACCCCTTTAACTCAAAATCACCCCCTCTCTGCCCATTACTGACCAGGACACGTCCTTAATGAAGGTTATTACAGCCTGTTTCTGACAAACGAAGGCCGTGATCCTCTGCAGAGTCAGGGAGGGTATTTTACATGCGGCTAAATCTAATACAGGCTCTTGTGCTTCGATGATAATTAACATTTTCACACAGCCGAGGGGGCTTCATCCTCTCAGTAGGAGGCCCCTTTTTAAGCTCTTACCCAAATCTCCAACCTCCTCTTTGTCCAGAGTTCTCTCCGCTCGTATAAAATAACTTTATGAGGCGGTTTTAACTTTAGAGACAGCCCAATAAAATCAAACTCCAAAGAGTGATGTATGTAACCCTTCAAACTAGGATCCTCTACAGCTCTTCTCATCTGAAAATTGAGCTGCTTTAAGTAATCCTCGTGTCTGCTCTGTTACCTTACGCGGCCGCTGCTGTTTCTGTGGAGAGAGGGGAAATAACAGCCAGCTGCTCCAGAGGTGGATCTGGGCCACTTCCAGCTGAGAATGTGTGCAATCACATGAATGTGAAGCTGCAGGACGACATGCATGCACGCTCAGCAAAACCTCCGACTGGGTGAGGAAACGTCAGGGGAAAGAAATGAAGGAAACTCTGCTCTGTGCTGAAGGTTCCTACCAATTACGCTGGATTATATACCCTTGGATTACCGTCTCAAGTGTGGCTGAAATGCCTTGAAGCAGATCCTAGTTAAGCCAATGCAGCTTTTAGACCTGATTCTTCTTTTTTCTTTTCTTTTGTAATTTATTTAAGCTGTTGGATTCGTCCTAAGGAGGGTCAAACGCGGACACGGGTTCACAGAAAGGCTGATTTTATTTGTCAGTGTTTGAACCCAAAGGGAGAAGTCAGCAAATTCTGCCGCTCTCCTTCAGCTGGCAAAGTGGGAAAAACACAGCTGGAGTTTGTTGAGAGCAGCAGCAGTCGGGGTTGAAGTTGCTCCCCTCAGCACTTCAAATCTCCAAAGACATTATTGGAATTGCGCACAACTGTGAAAAGAAATGTCCCGCTCTTTTGATTGAAATGGATTTCTCCTTTCGCTGTTGTATTATTTCCACAGAAGCACAGATCTGCTGATGGTTTGTTTTCTTGTGGTGACGCTTGTCCTGACACGAGGGCACGGGGAGACATGAGGCGACTGAAGCAGCGGGAGATGAGAGGGTGCAACAACAACAAAAAAACACAAGCAGAAATAAACCAAAACTGGGAAATCTCATTTACAAGAGCTTAAAATAACAAGGATTTCATCATCTGCATTTGTGCACATCTGTGAATGCAGATGCATGTTTTGAATAAGCGAGTGCTGACACCTGCAGGGCCAACGCGGCGCTGCAGCCCACCCTCGCCCGCGTCCTCGTCTGTTTTTTCTCTCGCCCAGAAAAGTCAACATCATTAAAAATACATGTGGCTGAAAAAGAGCAAACATCTTCTGCCGATGTCGTGAATTATGTTTGCATGGATTTCTCTCCACAAATAACATCCAATGAGCCTGTCAATGACAGCGCAGCAGAATGCGAGCTGCAAATCCCTGCTGGAGAACAAGTTAAACAAGACGTGCAGCTTCAGACCTCGATTAAAGAGACGGAGCGGGAGAGGAGCAGAGATCCTGATCAGTTTAGATGAGAGAGGAAAATGGAAACGCTGTCTCTGCAGAATACAGAAACTGTGACCTTTTGACCTTAAGGTGCTACACTTTTAGTATGGATCATTTAACCTCCTGACAGACCCCGTGTTTTAAGATCTACACATCAGACCCTCGGCGTGATTTTGGTGGAAGTCTATTTTTAGGTTTTGCAATGAGGCCAAAAAGTTTCACATCTTGGACTACGTTTAAAAACACATCTCCTTTTTCTATGGGCTGGATTTGTAAACAGAAAAGTTGAGTTTTTCTTAATTAGTTCTTGTGTAAATTTTATTATTTATTAGACATAGTTTTGAAAAAAATCGTCATACTCAAAGAGTCTGGTCTAATATAATAGTATATTATTGTCATGTTACAGTGTTGGGCTTTAGAAGTTTCAGGATTGGCACCTTAGACATTACAGCAGAGAATTACACTTCTTAAAAGTCAAAATAACAACAAATATGCTTAAACAAATACAGGATTTTATAACATTTAATGGAGTCAGATCTTGATTTAGTACAAAATTTGTTAAATTAAAGCTCCTGTGAAGATTTTGAGGTTGACTAAAATTCACTTTTAAACCTTTTTATGAGATTTAAGAGTAAACAAGACCATCAGCATCATCACATAACTGCTGATGTTTTTTTATATAGTGACTTTATAAACAGTTGTGAGGGGGTAGGTGTCAGCCAAGCAGCAGCAGAAGACACAACCCTAATTTTACAATTTCCACTTAATATTTTCAAAATACAAAAAAATCAAATGTCAAAACTATCAAAAAAAAAAAGGAAAAGTTGCTTTATCCACAGGGGGCACCAAACTTGACACAAATTGAAAGTCCCTCACAGGAGCTTTAAAGTCAAATCTTCTGCAGCAGATTTTTAACATTGTGAATCATACAGAGGATTGGAGGTTTGTTTTTATTGATATACTGTCAAAATGTCTCTTTAAACATGTCTAAGACTGATCAGTGGCAGGAACACGAGTCTGAATCTATTTCTCTGACTGAAAAACATCTTCCTGACTGTGAAACAGAAAGAAAACATTAGCATCGGGGTTAAAACATTATTTGTTCTGCTGATAATTTCGCTCTGACTCGATAAGAAAATAAGGTCTGTGAGGCAGCAGCTTTGATTTCACCTGATTGTATCACTTTTGTTTAATGTAAAGTTTTACTGCAAACTTTTATATCAGCGCTCCAAACAAACTCTTTCCCCCTGAATATGACGCAGATTATAAATTACATCTTTTTATCTTTGCCCCCGATTAAACGATGTTTTGATGATGAAATAATTCCCTCTTTTTGAAATGTCGTCTGATGGATTGCAGATTGCAGGAAAGAAACCTTTCACTATTTCAAACACATTTATTCAAGCCCTCTGTCATCCCATTACACTGATAAGGCAAATAATTAACATGTCGAGCAACACCGAGACCTGTTTTTCACCCGTTTCCTTCTTCATCGCCTCGATAACAACTGATACCAATTATGTTTGAGTTCAAAAGGAGATTAGATGGTGTAGTTCGGACTTCAAAGACTGACATCAGCCTGTCCTCAAGGGATTAATGTTCAACCCGGCAGCTCTCGGAGGCGCATAAACAAACATTTCCCACTTTTTCTCCTGCCAAACAGCTTGTTTGGCTGAAGAAATAACATCTTTTTCAAAGATGCTGAAGCAGCTTCTGCTCAGATATCAGTCCAGGACGCGCCCGAGCAGAATTCAAACACACACACACACACCCCCCCGACTGTCAGAAAGAAAGATGTTAAGTTAACATGCATTACTGACTGGACAGTTTGACGGACTGTTCTCATTTTACGTTCCCTGACTGATTTGCAACCACACACATATATTAAAAAAGTGAAATGTGGAGGTTTAGGATCATATTTTAAGTTAATGAATATATGTGATAACCCATCGGCTAACACCAGATTTTCTCATTTTAGTTCATATTTAAATATTCCTTCTTTTTTGGAATCTCTACAACTATATTCACCCGTTTGTCGATTTGTTTAAAAGGAATTGCAGAGCATAAGTGCAGGTTCTCATGCCGACCTTATATCCAGGTTTATATTCCCAATAATGGAGTTAGATCACAAGTGTTTAAATGGTCTTAAGGGGATATTTTGGCGTAAAATTAATTTAGGGTCAAACCCACCGTAACACTGAGTTAGACACCCCCTCCAGAGATTAATGTTGCCGACCGCTTACTTCTCTAGTTATACCAACTTTAGTAACGACGGCAGGATAGTAATACACAGCGGTCTGAGGAGCCATAAACAAACCTCAACCAAAACGCCACTCTATAGCCACAAATAATGCTCAGAACAGCACCTAACTTCATCAACAAGACATATAGGGTCACAGACATAGTACTAGACACCAAACATCTTTTAACTTTGACTAATTTCTTTAGCAAAGAGACTAAATACAACTCACCTACTCTCTTCCAGCAGCTACTTGTTTGTAGGGAGAGCTTGGATGAGTTGGTCATTGACTGCTGTGGGGTGACGCAGCTCAAGGAAGAACATTCAGGATCATTACCTCATGGAAATGCAATCAGACCGAAATGCAAAAGCAGAAGAACTACCGTGTCTGCAGAGCAAAATGATTAATATGATGATTATTACTCCAAGGAAATGATAAAGTAATGTTGGGATTTTCCCCTCTATAAAGAGCTTTGATAAAGACTTATAATAATAATAATAACCAGTTAGTAGCTTTACAACAGCAGCTAATGTAACAACAGCTGTCGTATACAATAACATTTCTGTGAAATTCCAGTAGGAACCCTGTGTTCAAAAAAATGATTTATCCTCATCTTCAGCTCTGTGACTGAAACTTTTTTGAAGATGGCGTTATCCCAAAATTGTCCGCTGTGCTTTTACTTTTTTTCCCTGTTTTCCTCAGGTTAAGTTAAACTATGCTTTTAATTTGAAAAGCCAAACTATTTCCTGAAGACCATAACTTGCAGAGCTGAATAAGAGAATTAAAAGAACAGTTGGAAAGTATAAATGCTTGATTAGCAGACAATAAGTTTATTGTTTTTGGATGTCTGGTTTTCACAGTAGTGAAGCTGCTACATGCTAGCTCGCTAAAATCAGATCTTCATTCGTCCGTAAAGATGGTTATTGTCTTTGCTTGTATTCTGGGACAGTCATAGTCTGAATCCACACTCAGTATGTCTGAGGAAAGACTCTTCCAACCAGCCGCTGTAAGAAAGCCTCTTTAATTTTTTATCTCCCAAACCCTTGAGGTTTAACTGTATCTCTGAATTATTGAGGTTTGGAGGAGCACCAAATACATTTGTTGTTTTGAATTCATAATTTTTCCTGCTAGTGACTCGAGGAATTTTCTGCCTCTTCATCACTTATTTCTGATAACAACAGAGCTCCGAGTAGACGCCTGGAGACTTAGGGAGTTTCAGAGTCTACTCAACAATTCATCAGGCACTCCTGACAGAGTATTCTGGCCTTTCTGCAGCCTCTTAATTTACTCCAGTCTCAGTGTTGGTTTAATCTGCACATGACAGAGCCAGACACTTTATTTGGCGGTGATAAGTCTCGCTTCTGTCCCGGGGTTGGAAGCTGAAAACACAGAATAACATGAACGTAAACTACATCAGTGTGATTTCATGTTTCATCAGGGGAGAGGCCACATTTATCTCCGATTATATGTGCTGCATGTATACGGCGGTGTGTTGCAGAGGACAGCGCAGAGATGAACAACACGCAGGGAATGCAAACAAACCATTAATCTCCTCCCGCCGAGCAGAAAAACAACCCACACTGAGAGCATTTCCTAAATTCTTTCTGCTGCTTATTTAGACTCAGAGGATGATGCAAACGATAAGGGCCGCAGTGTATTTGCTTAAAAAAAAAACGCAAACAAAACAGTGAATTAATATTTTACTGAGCGAGCAGTGAGAGGACGTCTGGAGTTAGTGTCTGGATGTTAAGTGGTTTAAAAGCGGTGTGTTTTTCTCCAGTATGAATAAATAATCGAACAGCAGCAGAGCTCTGTCTCATTCACTCTCAATTATGTTCACATCTTTCATTATTGACCTGTAAAAACACCAAAACTGTTAATATATAAACGCTCTTCTAAACACAATGACACGACGTCGGTGTGTTTTACATCGTCGAGAACAATGAGATCCATGTCTGAGTCATGCGGTAGAAATTGTTCTCGCACCGCTGGCGAGTTCAGGATCCATCTGGAAAGTGACCAACACACACATGATGAGTAATCAGATGTGATTGTGTTGGTAATTGAAGAGGAGTTTATTGTGGCTCCGTGGCACAACATGCTTGATTGTGTTTGAATAGAAGCTGATTGATTGTAGCGCTGCCGTGCACACCAGGAGACCTGCAGGAGAAAAAGTAAAATACACGCACTAAAAGCTGGCGTCCTGGAAAATAAAGGGTTGTACGCCTCCTCACCCACAATGCTTTCAAAACCAACCACTGCGCTTCAATAGTAAATATTATACACAGAGATGGAGACTCAAGACTTTAGACTAAATCCGGATTTCAGCTTTGGGACTCGTAAACAGTCTTTTTACTTTGTATTTTTGTCTTAATGACGTTTAAATCTTGAAATTTATTCCTTTATAAGTAATCCTTCACTTCTGCCCCAC